TATCTATCTATCTATCTATCTATCTATCTATCTATCTATCTATCTATCTATTTATCTATATATATATATCTCTATCTATATCTATCTATCTATCTATCTATCTATCTATCTATCTATCTATCTATCTATAAGATCGTCCTAATGCACTTAGAATAGTTGACACCATAAGGCAACGGGTATTGTTAACCTTTGAGAAGACATACAGTGTAATCTGCTGTATAGATAGCCGATGGAATGCTTAGTCGAAAGAACCATAAGTATAGCCAGTGACTCTAGAGCATAGAAGCAACGCATGCAGAAAAGTAGGAAACCGGGAGTATTGGCATCCAGCAATGTTGTGGAGGTTGGAGTTGGAAACGTTCCATAATGACATATAAGATCGAGACTCACATATGATCCATGATCACTTGACCGATCAATGTCCGAAACCCAACAGATAGGCAAGAGGGCCGGCGTGTGAGGGAGAACACGTGTCCACCAAAAAGCCACGCTATTATACCCCTTTATCTCCTATCTAACGGAAACTACGGTGCAATTTTATAACGAAAGAATCTGTATGATTATAGATTGATTTCTGTATAAACGTGTATTACAGTGCTGTACACATCCCACTATATGGGCTCTGCGTTTTATAATATCATATATTTTATTAAATTTTGATACTAATTTCACATATTATATTACGGCTTATTGAAACAAAGAGAAGTAAGTTGAAAATACGCGATTAACAGTTCACAGTATGTTTGAATCCATCATATTATCTATCTATGAATCTATCATATGTTTTATCAATGAATCATCATGATTATATCGATAACCCAGTATTACTAATCATAAAGTAATTTGTCGCCAGATGGCGCTGTACGGTCATATATGATACGGTGTATGATATCAAGAGTAGATAATAACACTTGTGTTATTATCTACTCTTGATGATATATGATACGGTGATATCTATGGGTCATAATATACCACTGACCACAGGTATCATCAGTACACTGAGCTGTATATAATAATATACATAACAAATTGTTATATAGTATACAGCTCAGTGCATCAGTACACAAATAGAGATCGTAATGAAAATTCCAATGTTCTAAAGATAATATCGTTGTCACATTTATACTGTGCCTTTTTTAATATTTTTATGCAATAACCCTCTCATCACAAACATATCTATACTATTAGAATATTATAAACATTAGACATCAATCTTATGAGTTTGTATTATTGTATTAGCCACTGTAATTATGAATATTTGTATACATTTCAGGAAATGATAGATGAATCACCATAATACAAATATGAGAATTTGTATAACAACACAAACAAGTAAACAATTTACAAAATTCAGTCCTTTTGCTGTAGCTACACTCGATTTGTTTATTTACAATCTATATATAAAGGGGAATAGCATATCACATATTTACAGAAACCATCAATATAAAAAATCCACTTTCAAACATTACTTTATCAGAATGATGTGGTCATTGCGGCTACGATGTATAGATAAAGCCATAAACACAAAGCCCATATCAATATAATCTTACATCATTGCCAAGTTTACCTATCCCTAACTCTAAAGCTCATAGCTGCTTCAAGACTACAAGTTAATTTTAAATGATTTTTCCAACAAGTTTATGACAGCGCATAACCCAGAATACAGAAAAGTTGTAGAATTTTCATAGAAAATCTCATAATTACAAAAAGAAGCCCACCAACTCAGACCAGCATTGCTATTTACAACTACGTTTTTATTACAGCAACATGTTATAAAAAAAACCTCAAGGCATAGAAGGACATATAGCAATAAAACTCGATACATGCCTGGAAAAGCCTATTGTATGGTAAGGAACCTAGCTATTATTCTATATAAGTTATCATTTGTCACTTTTATCCTTGTCTCCTTTTTTTTCTTGTTTCTGCCCTCTCCTCTTCATTGCAGCAGAACAGGAAGGACAGTACCACTTGCCTTTGGGGGGCTGGGTGATTCCAACACAATCATAGTGAAACCATTCAAATGGACACTAAAAATAAAAACAAATTCTCTTAATATATAATATGTGTAACAGAAGTAACTAAAATATGATCATAATATATACACACACATACTGGTTTGTTATGCTTAACCTACACATACTGAATACAGTATACAAACACTTCTAGTCACTTTTTACACGTTTAAACTTTGCACTTACACCAACTACAACAACACTCACTTGTTTGCCTCTCACAATAATCTCGTTCGTGTTTTCAATAGGGAAAAATCTGTTGCTAAGTTGTAGAATTTTAACTTACCGACTCGTTGTCACAGCCGACCATGTCGCCGTACGACACCTGGTTGCAGATGCAATAGCGCGGCTCGTTGGGATCATATTGCCAGTCTGTTGTTTCCGACGATGCGCCCGCATTCGCACCCTCCTCCTCCTGGTACGTCTCCTCTGTCGGTGTTGTTGCGACCTGCTGGGCCTGAAGGAGGCTGGCAACAGAGGAAGCCTTCTGCCTGTAGAAAACAATGGTCAACTGATATTTGATTTTCAATTATGCTTCTGATTAATATTATTGCAAATATTACATATTTATCACGCCGCTCTAGAACTACAATGAAAAGCAGCGCTCTCACAGAGCCCTGCTCTGACCTCAAGTCATTACACTTCCCATCATACTGCTGCATAGTGAGGCATTGCTGATCACTAAGCACTCCCTCATTGATACAGATACCCTGACAATAACACACATTTCTAGCAAGGTCACAGTACAGTACACAATCACTACTGCTCGTTGCAAACAAACCAAGAACCAGGAAACATGAGAACAAATTAGCACAAAAATGACTCATCATTTAGTGCCACAACTTTGTCACCAAGACTTGAGTCGCTTGTCTGGGTCTGGTATTTTTTGTCAATTAACACCACAAGATGGCAGCATTGTCTAATGCCCAATTTCCAAACTATAGCGTAAAGTGAACGCAAAAGACCTTTGTGCTCGCCGTTTGCCTCTGCTAAACCCTTACATGTAATGTCTATCACCTAGAGTCAATGCTAGACATCTTACTTCTTGCTGGAGCGGGCTGACCGCGGCGTCTCGGCCACCGCAGGCCCCGAGCCTGACGCCACTGCTGCTGCAGCTGCAGCCGTTATCAGCGTCTCCCTGCCGACCGACAAATTCTTCAGATCCGAGTTGCGCATGGCTTCGTAGCTTGCCTTCAGACTCGCAGTTCGCCTCCCTTGTGACATCTACAGTTATCACAAGAACATTAAACTCGTCGACCATCCGATGGGCTTAAACACAAGTGAAGTCCCCTAAAAAATTGTGAAACGAAGCCGGGTGAGACGGACGACTAAACGACAAATGCTATCGCTGTTTGTTCACGTACTCATCGGCTCATTCGACAATTTTATTATTTTTATTATTGAATTTTTATTGCATGTAATTCAAATACAAATACAGGTACTGAAGACCTCTTTTTCATTGAGAAAAAATCCGATAGACGTAATAGTGTTGAGCAGTAATACAGTACAAAACATCACTTTACAACATAAAATATAAATACAAAAACGACAATATACCTGTTGAGTAGCAGCAATGGCAGCGGAGGCCGCTGTTGCTATTGCGTTGCTACCAGAGCCGATCTGACCAAGACTGTAGCTGATGGCAGGCTGCGACGAGGGCCCGGGCGACACAAGACCGGACGACGGAACTACGTAGAAGAGACAGAATGACACACCAGTGCGCGAAATTAGCGCTACTTTGCCGGCGGCTGCCGGTTCAACCCCGTAAACCACTCGGTCAACCCCCTAAACCGCCGGTTCAACCACCCACCTAATCAGTCCCCTTGGCCTATTCAAAAATTTGCCTATCCTGCCTTTATATCAACAATATTTACCAATTTCCTGACTAGTTTTTACTTAGTGACTACTAAGAAGTAAATCATGTTCTAGCAATCCCTGTCAAACAAGTAGAACTCCACTGATAGCAATGAAATACTGAAATAGGTACTACGAGTATGCCTAATAAACATAAAGCTAATACTTTTACTAATAATGCAATAAATTGAACAAAATTAAAGGCCTGTTCAATTTGTCTAAGGGCCTGTTCACATTTTGGCCAATTTCATGCCATGCACACGTCAATTTATAGCAATCATTGTCTTGATTTACACTTTTCTTGACATCATAATGTGAAAAACAATAATTCCAAACACACAAGCACGTGTACATGCACGCACGCACTCACCTACGCACACATTCGCCTACGCACGCACGTATGCACAAAGATTTAACACGAGCAAGTGTTACAAAAGCGACTAGAAAGTACTAGAGATGAGATGCGATTCAGCACGCACAACAAGTGACAGCTATTGTACTGGAGTGATGCTTCGTTAACAGACCTCCAGTCTTCATGACTGTCGGGTCTCGTAGTAGCTCGTTGCTTAGTGAAGAGAAGCTCTTTTCTGCTGTAGCGCGCTTGGCTTCAACGTGGTTCGACATCACATATTTTCTCTCTGAAAACAAAAGGGCAGTAGCTGCAGGATCGCTATTTTGTCTCCAGTCAGATAACGTGCCATATACATTAGAAGCAAATGTACAAACGTCTATCTGTCGTCAAACAATGCTTAAACTTAAAAATGCCCTTTTAATCGTTTTTATAATAAGCATATTACTTTGCATTGATATCTTTGAAAAAAAGGGGCCCTGGTCAGCACTACAGGGTGTGGTTCCACTGGATTAGCTGTCAGAGACTGGGTGAGAAATGATGATGCCACATGAGCCCATTAAACCCCACATGTCTGTTAGTGCCGTACTGCAATTCGTGATAACAAAATGCATATTAGGATATCTCACTTTCTGGTCTGTGATTGTTGACTGGCTGAGGAGGCTTGTCTAGCTCCAAAGATCCTGACATGAAAAAGCATGCAATTTGTTACTGTACATATTAATGACACACACAATTATTATATAAAAACAGAACAGAAAGCCTGATAGCTGTGGGTCTCTATAAAGTGATGTGAAATACTCTACTCTTGGTGTAAAAACAACGTACTTGTCTAAACGACAATAATAAGGTCACGATGAGTTATAAACTGTGACATACTTGTTATTTCCTAAAAAAATAATTAATTGTTTCCGTACTGCCCGACCAAGAAAGACAAAACTCTTGCAAAGATACAGCTTCATTACTTCTTTCCAGGTACTCTGTGATTCCGGCATTATCCGCCTCCAGCTCCATCTTGAATTTTGAGAGTTCTTGGTCTAGTTTTCTTAGATGCCGGTCAACAAGGTCATACACCTGAGTAGATAGCTGGATCTTATCGTCTGCATCCTCCAAAGCCTTGTAGTAATCCTGAGAAAATGGTGGCACTTCTCTTACAGTTTTATCAACTGGCAAGTTATTAAATGAGCAATACTAATATGATATAGCCATTTAATTTTTTTACCTATTTTAAAAACGTTACCTACATGAAATTAGTGCTACATTCTATTTCTAACCATTTTGCTAGCTACATTTGGCTATGTCAGATAAGCTAAAAGGTCACATATTATCAGGGGTTAATAATGACAAATTGTCATAAACTTATCAGTCATTATTAACTCTTGATATTATAGTAGTAATAAACACAAATGAAAAATAATGAGGCTAATAAAAGCTATGCAAAACAATGAGGCTAATAAAAGCTATGAAAAAATAAGGATATTAAAGAAGAAAGCTTCACTATGCTTGATTTTTTTTAATGTACTTACTGTGAATAGTCTAATACTACTAGTATATAGATCAGTTTATAACACATTTAACTCCTATAGTTTTGCTGTTTTTAATTAAAGTCTTTGCAAGTGATTTTACCTGTTTGATTTTATCAAACTGCTCATCTTTGGCCTTTTGTTCCATAGTCGGATTCTTTTTACAGTTGGTAAAAAATGCTTTAACCCGTTCTTCTAAACTGTCCATCGAATCTGAAAATAGAATTGAATTTAGAAGTAATCAGACATAAGAATTCCAAATTGTAAAAATCACTGAACCCCCCCCCTCCCACCACCACCATCCCCTCTTCCCCCACTTCCATGGCCCCCTGACATAATGAACAAAATTGGCAAGAAACGTTTTAAGGATACTGCCATGATATATCACACATTCAGCATTTTTGCAGTTAGATTAAAATAACTAAGGAAATAAAAGCGCTAGCATTATAAAAGGTTGCACAGTTGTTCTTATTCCCAATAGGTAATTTCAATGGTCAATTAATCAATTTTTCCAGTAAATGATTATCTAATCAGTGGCTGCAAACAATCGCAATATCATATCACAAAGCAATAGCAAACAAAACTTTTGATTACATTTGATTACGAGGATATCACTAGATTATAAGCAAATATAGTACAGCATAATTTGTCCGTGCAAGCATTATTACAATTATAATAATCAGGGAGTCCCACAAACTTCTGCGAATGTATTTTATGGAGTATAACGTGTAGTACATGACTCCAGATTTGTGTCGGTTTTGAAGCTTGCATATTATACTATATTATATCAAGAGATGATAATAAATTAATAGAGCTGATAACACATGAATAATTGATTAATAGCTCTTGATTATGATCATAAACCACTCTAATTTTTTCAACAAATATCGGATCAAACTTAAAAATGACATTTATCAATCAAAATCACTGAAAACTGTGGAAATGCAGAAGATATGTACACAATAAATATGTAAACACAACCAGTGGCAAATCCAGGATTTTGAGATAACGGAGGAGGTGCAACTGCTTAGCCAGGATTTCATTTTAGGGGGTGCAGATTTTGTGATAGCGCCAGTGCACACGCTTCGCGTGCCGAATGGGGGGGAACAAAAAATAGGGGGGCCGCGCGCCTCTTGCGCCCACCCCTTGGATTTGCCACAGACACAAAAAATGTGGAATCATAACCACATAGATGAGTGCCAACATTTACTTACTTTGCACCTGCAGGTCCAGTTCTCTGATCTCAGTAAATCGGTCTCGCAGCTCATCCGGCAGCTGCTCGATCACTGTAAAAACCGCACAATGTTAAATCTCAGTCAACTGCTGGTTTTACGACAATTATGACTTCGACTACTGGTATTATCAGCACTGTAGCCTGTAAAGTAAATTAAATCAGTATGAAATTTAAGATAGAATTAGCAAAATTGAATAATGAATGCCCGGTGTTAAAGCACTCAAGAGTAAGACTGGGAAGATACGGCTGGCTCATAATAAGATCCATATCCTGATACAGCCTTCACAATACGATACGTATCACAATACTTTTGAGAGAAAACCACCTTTCAAACTATACACTTAACCGGGACTCTACCAATCGTGTGAATGCTTGCAAACCAGTATCGTGAAGTGCTTTGTAAACAACTGTTATGAAACTGCAAATCGTGTTATGTTTCCTTTGTTTTTTGGTGAAACTACGCTACTAAATGATACTGATTTTAGCCAGTAGAGTATTGATATGTGTATCGTAAATGGTCAAATGTATCGATACGTGTATCATCAAGGTTTGTATCACGATACATCAATATGTTGATGAATCATCCCACCCCTACTCAAGAATATGGTGGCAGTGATGTGCAGGATTATTTCATAGATCTTTAGAAGACTCAACAAGTCGCGATAATAGTCTTGTACTCGGTGCCACCAGACCGTGCACCTCATTGAGTCACATAAGTGGTTCTACACCACCAATCTCTATATATACTATCTGGATATCGGTTAGCCAATCTACGGTCGTTGAAAAAGTGACCCCACCGTGGCACTGGCCGCTATCTTACAACCACTTCCGAAAGCTGAAGTCTACCAGTGTGCACTCCATAACATTTCAAATGGATAATCACTAAATCATTTAGTCATTTAGTAAATGAAGCCGATTTAATTATTCTTATATGCTTGAAAACAAATTTTAATAAATAAAGAGTAGAGGTAGGCCAGAAAGAGCTACCCGGTTAGTATATAAGGCCATAATAAAAATATTGTTTGTTTGCCCTCACCCGACCGACCCGCCAAAAAGGGGCCGACTCAAAACATTTTATTGATCTTTCTTTTTTTTCTTTTTTTAAACAAATTGTATCATTGTACATTAAAGAAATCTGTAGGCAATACATTATATGTACCAAGCAAAAGAAACATTCAACATAAAAGGTATCTCCACACAAGCACACCCGAGCACGTAGACACCACGCTGAATTTGTAAAATTCCACGCCCTCAAAAAAAATAGAAAAGCCGACCTAACTACCCAAACTTTTCAGCCTGGGTCGGGTGAGGGCAAACAAAGATTTTTTTAATTGTGGCCTAAGGATCCATGTTCTAAACTGCTAGTGTTTCTATTACTTCATGCAAGCTACCGTTAACAAGATGTAGGGACATGGTCTCGCGAGAAACAAGTGACACCATCATGTAAACACGTCAACTAGAATTCAACAAATGAGAGTTCAATTATTGCATGTTTAGGTGAAAGTAACGATGTAACGAGCATTCTATAACATGTTACTGTTAGCTTTACTTTTTACACTTGCTGTTAGTGTTACTCAAGCAATACCAGTACTGTTATTGTCAGAAAAATACGAAAACAGTCAGGAGTGTTAAAATCTTCACTTTCAGCACACCGTCACCGAGCTTGTTGGGGTCACGGTAAGCGGTGTTAATTTCTACTTAACTATATTTGCCATTTGGTTGACGGTATATGCTACCTCACAAACACTCTGGCAATAAATAAAATTCGTGTTTATTTACTATACTCTATCATATTAACGGCCCAAGTGCCTGAGCCAGTGTCTGTCACTACACACTGTCAGTGTCAGTAGTACAGTGTCAGTACACTGTACAGTAGTACCGATTTAGACCTAGGTAGACATGGAGTTTTGATATTTTTACATTCTCGATTGCTAGTCACAGAACCTGTGTTCGTGCGATACAACGGCACATAGTTGAGTTTGATAAGATGTTGATTTAACAACTTACTTTCCAAATAATCCTCTAAATAAAGCATTTTGTATTATGACAAGTTTAGAAACAAATTCATGCGGCAAACACTAAACACTGATCAGCCTTGCATGAAAGCTCTTCTCGGATTGGGCCCGCAGGCTTAAACATTCATTAATCAGTTTTATTAGCCAATCAGAATTGCGATATTATGTGTAGAAATTTGTGGCGGCTGCCATTACTATTTGAACAGAAGCAACCAATCGATAGCATGAATACCAACAGATGCTATCATATTTTTACAGTATAGGCACACCACATCTACTTTCTGCAAGAAATTCTTGCGTATTCTAATTAAACTCTTCATTATTAACTGCGATACTTTATTTTTATTGTATATAATATGATATGTGTTATAAGAATTTTATCGACACGTTACGCCAGCAACTGAATATACTGTATCAGCTGTATATGGAGGCGCACTAAGAACTTTTTCGTTTAGTATTTCACCACTAGAAATGTATTCTGCTTGTAGACTTTTCACGCCTTCTCTCGTCCCACGATGTAGAGGAATTAAACAGTGTGTAAATGCAGTTGGCAAAACACGTTCTTATGCATCTGAGGTAATATTACTAGTGCTTATTTGCTGACTTGGTGAAAAGCCGGGTGTACAGTAGAGCGTAATTTTCATGATTTGTTCAATCACAGGCCCTTGGAGGCTCAAGTTTCGAAAGAGTATAAGACTATATTAAGAGCGAAGCGACCTCTTCGCTCTTAATATAGTCTTATACTCTTTTGAAACTTGAGCCTCCAAGGGCCTGTGGTTCAATCATGATTCAGTCCATCCACATCATATGTTATAAGCTTGTGAAGCATTCAGGTTTTTCAGTCACAGAAAAGCAAAACAACAGAATTCCAGAGAAGCCATAATATATCAATATCCAGAGAGACATGATACAAGATTGCGTGGCACAGCTTTGCTGTTGATCCTAAGCGCTGCGCGCGGATGAGACGCGAAGTTCCGCGGGATATGCGCACGCGACCGCAGGGATGTTCAAGTATGAAGCGCAGTCCGCAGTGGAGGCGTGCGCCAAATTCGAGGCCCGGCGCACGTCTCCACAGCGGTCAGCGGATGGTCTGTAGTTTTAGAAGATGACAATGATTATATGGACGATATTCTAGAAATTAGAGGTTATAATATAATATTACTTTTTGATTCAGCTAATCTGGGGCTAAACCGACCAGGCTCTCCGACTGTTACACGTCGTAGGAACAGTAGCCAATGTAGTGTTAAGCGAGAATGGAACTTGTGGCTAATCTCGAGCATGACTGAGCGATTTTTATTAGTATATTATAACCTCTAATTTCTAGAATATCGTCCATATAATCATTGTCATCTTCTAAAACTACAGACCATCCGCTGACCGCTGTGGAGACGTGCGCCAGGCCTCGAATTTAGCGCTCGCCTACACTGCGGTCTGCGCGTCATACTTGAACATCCCTGCGGTCGCGTGCGCATATCCCGCGGAACTGCGCGTCTCATCCGCGCGCAGCGCTTAGGATCAACAGCAAAGCTGTGCCACGCAAT